ATGGAACCAGCTGTGCAGATATGGAACCACCTGTGCAGATATGGAACCACCTGTGCAGATATGGAACCAGCTGTGCAGATATGGAACCAGCTGTGCAGATATGGAACCAGCTGTGCAGATATGGAACCAGCTGTGCAGATATGGAACCACCTGTGCAGATATGGAACCAGCTGTGCAGATATGGAACCAGCTGTGCAGATATGGAACCAGCTGTGCAGATATGGAACCAGCTGTGCAGATATGGAACCAGCTGTGCAGATATGGAACCAGCTGTGCAGATATGGAACCAGCTGTGCAGATATGGAACCAGCTGTGCAGATATGGAACCAGCTGTGCAGATATGGAACCACCTGTGCAGATATGGAACCAGCCTGTGCAGATATGGAACCAGCTGTGCAGATATGGAACCAGCTGTGCAGATATGGAACCACCTGTGCAGATATGGAACCAGCTGTGCAGATATGGAACCAGCTGTGCAGATATGGAACCACCTGTGCAGATATGGAACCACCTGTGCAGATATGGAACCACCTGTGCAGATATGGAACCACCTGTGCAGATATGGAACCACCTGTGCAGATATGGAACCAGCTGTGCAGATATGGAACCAGCTGTGCAGATATGGAACCAGCTGTGCAGATATGGAACCAGCTGTGCAGATATGGAACCAGCTGTGCAGATATGGAACCAGCTGTGCAGATATGGAACCAGCTGTGCAGATATGGAACCAGCTGTGCAGATATGGAACCAGCTGTGCAGATATGGAACCAGCTGTGCAGATATGGAACCAGCTGTGCAGATATGGAACCAGCTGTGCAGATATGGAACCAGCTGTGCAGATATGGAACCAGCTGTGCAGATATGGAACCAGCTGTGCAGATAAGGAGCCAGCTGTGCAGATATGGAACCAGCTGTGCAGATATGGAACCAGCTGTGCAGATATGGAACCAGCTGTGCAGATATGGAGCCAGCTGTGCAGATATGGAACCAGCTGTGCAGATATGGAACCAGCTGTGCAGATATGGAACCAGCTGTGCAGATATGGAACCACCTGTGCAGATATGGAACCAGCTGTGCAGATATGGAACCACCTGTGCAGATATGGAACCAGCTGTGCAGATATGGAACCAGCTGTGCAGATATGGAACCAGCTGTGCAGATATGGAACCAGCTGTGCAGATATGGAACCAGCTGTGCAGATATGGAACCAGCTGTGCAGATATGGAACCACCTGTGCAGATATGGAACCACCTGTGCAGATATGGAACCAGCTGTGCAGATATGGAACCAGCTGTGCAGATATGGAACCAGCTGTGCAGATATGGAACCAGCTGTGCAGATATGGAACCAGCTGTGCAGATATGGAACCAGCTGTGCAGATATGGAACCAGCTGTGCAGATATGGAACCAGCTGTGCAGATATGGAACCACCTGTGCAGATATGGAACCAGCTGTGCAGATATGGAACCAGCTGTGCAGATATGGAACCAGCTGTGCAGATATGGAACCAGCTGTGCAGATATGGAACCAGCTGTGCAGATATGGAACCAGCTGTGCAGATATGGAGCCAGCTGTGCAGATATGGAACCAGCTGTGCAGATATGGAACCAGCTGTGCAGATATGGAACCAGCTGTGCAGATATGGAGCCAGCTGTGCAGATATGGAACCAGCTGTGCAGATATGGAACCAGCTGTGCAGATATGGAACCAGCTGTGCAGATATGGAACCACCTGTGCAGATATGGAACCAGCTGTGCAGATATGGAACCAGCTGTGCAGATATGGAACCAGCTGTGCAGATATGGAACCAGCTGTGCAGATATGGAACCAGCTGTGCAGATATGGAACCAGCTGTGCAGATATGGAACCAGCTGTGCAGATATGGAACCACCTGTGCAGATATGGAACCAGCTGTGCAGATATGGAACCACCTGTGCAGATATGGAACCAGCTGTGCAGATATGGAACCAGCTGTGCAGATATGGAACCAGCTGTGCAGATATGGAACCAGCTGTGCAGATATGGAACCAGCTGTGCAGATATGGAACCAGCTGTGCAGATATGGAACCAGCTGTGCAGATATGGAACCAGCTGTGCAGATATGGAACCAGCTGTGCAGATATGGAACCAGCTGTGCAGATATGGAACCAGCTGTGCAGATATGGAACCACCTGTGCAGATATGGAACCAGCTGTGCAGATATGGAACCACCTGTGCAGATATGGAACCAGCTGTGCAGATATGGAACCACCTGTGCAGATATGGAACCACCTGTGCAGATATGGAACCAGCTGTGCAGATATGGAACCACCTGTGCAGATATGGAACCAGCTGTGCAGATATGGAACCACCTGTGCAGATATGGACCAGCTGTGCAGATATGGAACCAGCTGTGCAGATATGGAACCAGCTGTGCAGATATGGAACCAGCTGTGCAGATATGGAACCAGCTGTGCAGATATGGAACCAGCTGTGCAGATATGGAACCAGCTGTGCAGATATGGAACCAGCTGTGCAGATATGGAACCAGCTGTGCAGATATGGAACCAGCTGTGCAGATATGGAACCACCTGTGCAGATATGGAACCAGCTGTGCAGATATGGAACCACCTGTGCAGATATGGAACCAGCTGTGCAGATATGGAACCAGCTGTGCAGATATGGAACCAGCTGTGCAGATATGGAACCACCTGTGCAGATATGGAACCACCTGTGCAGATATGGAACCACCTGTGCAGATATGGAACCAGCTGTGCAGATATGGAACCACCTGTGCAGATATGGAACCACCTGTGCAGATATGGAACCACCTGTGCAGATATGGAACCACCTGTGCAGATATGGAACCAGCTGTGCAGATATGGAACCACCTGTGCAGATATGGAACCAGCTGTGCAGATATGGAACCACCTGTGCAGATATGGAACCAGCTGTGCAGATATGGAACCAGCTGTGCAGATATGGAACCAGCTGTGCAGATATGGAACCAGCTGTGCAGATATGGAACCAGCTGTGCAGATATGGAACCAGCTGTGCAGATATGGAACCAGCTGTGCAGATATGGAACCAGCTGTGCAGATATGGAACCACCTGTGCAGATATGGAACCAGCTGTGCAGATATGGAACCACCTGTGCAGATATGGAACCAGCTGTGCAGATATGGAACCACCTGTGCAGATATGGAACCACCTGTGCAGATATGGAACCAGCTGTGCAGATATGGAACCACCTGTGCAGATATGGAACCAGCTGTGCAGATATGGAACCACCTGTGCAGATATGGAACCAGCTGTGCAGATATGGAACCAGCTGTGCAGATATGGAACCAGCTGTGCAGATATGGAACCAGCTGTGCAGATATGGAACCAGCTGTGCAGATATGGAACCAGCTGTGCAGATATGGAACCACCTGTGCAGATATGGAACCAGCTGTGCAGATATGGAACCACCTGTGCAGATATGGAACCAGCTGTGCAGATATGGAACCACCTGTGCAGATATGGAACCAGCTGTGCAGATATGGAACCACCTGTGCAGATATGGAACCAGCTGTGCAGATATGGAACCAGCTGTGCAGATATGGAACCAGCTGTGCAGATATGGAACCAGCTGTGCAGATATGGAACCAGCTGTGCAGATATGGAACCAGCTGTGCAGATATGGAACCAGCTGTGCAGATATGGAACCAGCTGTGCAGATATGGAACCAGCTGTGCAAATATGGAACCACCTGTGCAGATATGGAACCAGCTGTGCAGATATGGAACCAGCTGTGCAGATATGGAACCAGCTGTGCAGATATGGAACCAGCTGTGCAGATATGGAACCAGCTGTGCAGATATGGAACCAGCTGTGCAGATATGGAACCACCTGTGCAGATATGGAACCACCTGTGCAGATATGGAACCACCTGTGCAGATATGGAACCAGCTGTGCAGATATGGAACCACCTGTGCAGATATGGAACCAGCTGTGCAGATATGGAACCACCTGTGCAGATATGGAACCAGCTGTGCAGATATGGAACCACCTGTGCAGATATGGAACCAGCTGTGCAGATATGGAACCACCTGTGCAGATATGGAACCAGCTGTGCAGATATGGAACCAGCTGTGCAGATATGGAACCAGCTGTGCAGATATGGAACCAGCTGTGCAGATATGGAACCAGCTGTGCAGATATGGAACCAGCTGTGCAGATATGGAACCACCTGTGCAGATATGGAACCAGCTGTGCAGATATGGAACCACCTGTGCAGATATGGAACCAGCTGTGCAGATATGGAACCACCTGTGCAGATATGGAACCAGCTGTGCAGATATGGAACCACCTGTGCAGATACCAGCTGTGCAGATATGGAACCAGCTGTGCAGATATGGAACCAGCTGTGCAGATATGGAACCAGCTGTGCAGATATGGAACCAGCTGTGCAGATATGGAACCAGCTGTGCAGATATGGAACCAGCTGTGCAGATATGGAACCAGCTGTGCAGATATGGAACCAGCTGTGCAGATATGGAACCAGCTGTGCAGATATGGAACCACCTGTGCAGATATGGAACCAGCTGTGCAGATATGGAACCACCTGTGCAGATATGGAACCAGCTGTGCAGATATGGAACCAGCTGTGCAGATATGGAACCAGCTGTGCAGATATGGAACCACCTGTGCAGATATGGAACCACCTGTGCAGATATGGAACCACCTGTGCAGATATGGAACCAGCTGTGCAGATATGGAACCACCTGTGCAGATATGGAACCAGCTGTGCAGATATGGAACCACCTGTGCAGATATGGAACCAGCTGTGCAGATATGGAACCAGCTGTGCAGATATGGAACCAGCTGTGCAGATATGGAACCACCTGTGCAGATATGGAACCACCTGTGCAGATATGGAACCACCTGTGCACTTATGATCGATGGTGTGAATGATGTGCTCTTCTCAGGTAACACATCATCCAATCCATCAGTCATACCCACCACCCAGCCATTCCCACCTGCGCCAGGTAGCGCACGAGGATGTTGGCTCCCAGGGACCAGCCGGCCGCATAGAGGCGCGAGAGCGGCTGCAGTGCTGCCACGTGGCGCACCACCTGCCGTAGATCCTCGGTGAATGATGCCGAGTAGAACTGGGTGGTTGGGATAGGGGTGGAGATGAGGAAAGTGGAGCGAGTGGCAAGTATGAGTTGAGACATTACTATTGACAGCACACCACCTGCCGTTCATCCTCGGTGAATGATGCTGAGTAGAACTGGGGAGAAATGGGGGTTGGTGGGTAGAGAGGCGGGAAGGGGAGAGAGAGGGGAGAGGAGGGAGTAGGGGACTTAAATGCGCGCTGAAAATCGTCAGTGAAATGGTGCTGAGTGGAACTAGAGAGGAGAGGAAGGGGTGGAGAGGAAAAGGGGGGTGTTGGGGGGCGGAGGAGGGGGACTTTTGAGAAATCCCATAAGGCGCTCCAAGTGCCATGGGCCTTCGTGAATGTGCTGCGTAGCGCTGGGGGATGGTGCTGGGGAGGTGAACGGGTGGAGCCGACTGTTGTCGCATGTGGTATGTGTGCTGCATGTGGCAGGGGGGGCATGTGGCATGTTGCATGTGGCATGTGGCATGTTGCATGTGGCATGTGGCATGTTGCATGTTGCATGTGGCATGTTGCATGTTGCATGTGGCATGTGGCATGTGGCATGTGGCATGTGGCATGTGGTATGTTGCATGTTGCATGTGGCATGTTGCATGTGGCATGTGGCATGTGGCATGTTGCATGTGGCATGTGGCATGTTGCATGTGGCATGTTGCATGTTGCATGTGGCATGTTGCATGTGGCATGTGGCATGTGGCATGTGGCATGTTGCATGTGGCATGTGGCATGTTGCATGTTGCATGTTGCATGTGGCATGTGGCATGTTGCATGTGGCATGTGGCATGTTGCATGTTGCATGTTGCATGTGGCATGTGGCATGTGGCATGTTGCATGTTGCATGTTGCATGTTGCATGTGGCATGTGGCATGTGGCATGTTGCATGTTGCATGTTGCATGTTGCATGTTGCATGTGGCATGTGGCATGTGGCATGTTGCATGTGGCATGTGGCATGTTGCATGTTGCATGTTGCATGTTGCATGTGGCAGGGGGCAAGTGAGAATGAGATATGGCATGTGGGATGTTGACATCACGTGAATCACCTGTGGCGAGGTGACAGGGATCAATCACCTGGGGTACCATGTGGGCATCATCACCTGGGGTACATATCAATCAAAGCGCCATGTTAAGCACTTGCGACGAGGTGACGGGGCTGTTGGCACATGGCATGCCACTATGTATCACCTGGGCCATCAGCCATGAGAGCTGGGCGAGCTGCAACTTAGGAGAATTCTTCCAGCAGAAGACTGACAGATTGAGTAATAAAAACAGCTCTTAGTTGCCTGTCTAAGAAACCGGGATTGAAACACTGAGAGCTCTGGGCACTACATATCACCTGGGCCATCATCGTGTGCGGAAGAATCACCTGCGGCGACGTAACGGGGCTGTTGGCGCAGCCACGCGAGTTGAACACCACCGTGCCCCACCCCGCCCGCCTGGCGCGCACCAGCATGTGCCTCACGTACGTGTCGCCGCTGCCGCCTGTGAGCCCGGGCTGGTGGGTAGATGAGGGAAGGCAGTGGTGCATGCACGGTGAGAGCAGAGGCAGCCCCGGCAGTGGTGCATGCACGGTGAGAGCAGAGGCAGCCCCGGCAGCCCCTGGAGTTGAACACCGCTGTGCCCCACCCCGCCCACCCCGCCCGCCAGGCCGCCTGGCGCGCACCAGCATGTGCCTCACGTACGTGTCGCCACTGTCCCCTGTCAGCCCTGGCTGTGACGGTTTGGGAAGAGAAGGGTGGATGCACGATTGGGAGGGAGATGAGATGAGATGAGATGAGTTGAAAGGATATATGCATGCATGTGCCACTGTCCCCTTCACCCTGGGCTGGTGGGTGGGGTGGGGAGGGTGGAAGAAGTGCAAAGGTGGGGTGAGCAGTCACAGGCTAGCATGTGCAACACATATGTGTCGCCACTGCCCCCTGTCAACCTGGGCAGATGGGTGGGTGAGGGAAAAGGGGCGAGCATGCACGAGAGGGAGGGAGACGAGGTGAGAGAGAGAGGACATATGCAGCAGATGCACATGTCCCCTTTTCTCACCTCGTCTATGGTGCATGCACGAAGGGGAAAAGGGGACATATGCATGTGCTCCATACATGTGTCACCACTGCCGCCCGTCAACCTGGGCTGCAAGGGTGTGGGAGAGTGGTGAGATACTGTGAAGAGGCGGGATGCGATGAGCAGTGCTACAGAGGCTGTGGTACAGTGTACACCTTGCAGTGATCTTCTACAGTAATTATTGCTAAACAATAGCAAACAACTCACCAGAAGAATCAGCCAGGGAGTGCCAGGTGGCACCTCGCCATTGGCCGACGTGCCTTCCAGCGCCTCGCCCCCTATCGGCCAATCAAGAGCCACCGTGCCGCCATCCACCATTCTCAGGCACTCCCTTCTGAACCGCACGGCAGGCAGGGAGCGCGCCACGGCTGCAAAGATGGTCTCCACGTGGCAGTTCGCCAGTGGTCCAAAGAACGGCCTGTACTGGAGAGTTGGGAAAAGGGTGGGAAGAGGTTGCTGGTGTCAGTTTCAGTTTCAGTTTCAGTTCCAGTTTCACCATGTTTTTTTAGCACGCCACGCAAGCGGATGTTTTCCAGTTTTTCTTCTACTCTTCCTTAGTCATTTCTTGTCAATGCAATCACCTGTAAGGTTCTTGTAACGAGGGGAGCTGCCACGTCAGCTCCTGATGCACCTCTCCGTTCCCCCCAACCAGTTTAAGCCCCTCCGGACTCCGCTTCGGCGTCCCACCTCCGGGATTTCCGCCGGATTTTCCGGCGCCATTCCCGCTAGCAACAGCAGCACTGCCTCCCGCAGCGCCGCTCCTCGCGGTGACTCTTGAACCGCGAATACCGGCGGAGCTCCCGCTCGTCGCGCTCCTCCTGCCGTCGATTAATCTCCTTCCATTCTTGATAGCAAGATACGTTATAAGCGCGCCGGTTCCAACGGCTAGACCCACACCGCTGGTCAACAAAACACGACCAAGTCCAGCTAGACTTGCGGTAGGGCGACACGTCGGATTCAACGCACGTGCTGTTTCGCGGGGAACGCTATAACGCGAATATTGGTTGGTTCGCGTCGCGTGTACGGACGCGAGGGAGGGTGGCCACGTGGAGCCTAGGAGACGACTGATTGGCTGAGATCGGCGGGGGGCGTGATTGTAACGAGCTGTGACTGATCGGGTTGCCATTGGTCGCCCGGTCGTTTGACGGGTGCAAGGAACGGCACCGGTCCCCCTACCACCTCCGCGATTCACGGCGTGAATCGCGCGGGGCGTTGAAAGGCTAGAAGACGGCCATGTGTGGCGAAGGCACGAGGAAGACGTCATTGGCTTCGACGACAACCAATAGGATCGCTACCCAGCCCTCCTCGGACAAAGCTATCCAGTCCGCCGCTACCGGCGCCGGCGGCGACGCTTGGTCGCAGTTGAATCAGTCTCGAACCGTGCTGCGTACGTGGCGGGTGCTTGGTTGCTCGCTGAAAGGTAGTTACGCGTTGGGGATTCCAACATTGGTGGTGGTGTTGGACCATAAAAAAACCCGCTATTGTGAAATCCGAAAAGCAGTGAACATGCATTTCGTAGTCTATCTTTTCTAGCCTGGAGTCAGCAAATTCCCCCTCTGCTGCTCCCGGTACCTCACGAAGTATTTTATGAATAAACTGCATAATATAAGCACTCGGATTAGACAGTGGGTTTCCACTGCACTCGAAGAATGATTAATCGGATTAAATCAGGGCCTCAGAAGTCAGTGAAAAAAGGCTGATTTAGGGTCTGGACGCTGATTTCCCAGACATATGGCTGATGTGTTGGCTGATAATTCAGTTTTTTTTTTTTAATTGTGTTGGCTGATTCTTCAGGTTTTTTTTTTAAGTATTGGCTGATTTTCCAGCGTTTTTTTACAAGTGTCCGCTGATTGATCAGACTTGTAACGAGAGTGTAGGCTGAACTCACGCTATTACAGATTCGTGCCGGAGCCGTGTTTTTCGGCTGTCCAGGTACATCCACCGTCAATCACGCAAAAGTAGCCACGTACAGCGCCGACGCGGCGGGAAAACGAATTTCCCCGACGAGTCGGTTGCTTCGTTGTCACCGACAGAATGCTTCAATTGATGTGATTGGTTGTTTAACCAATCACATCCCTTATGCGCCATTCACCAACCACCAGGGCAGCACAGCACAGCACCTGCTTAACTTAATGAACAAAGTGCTTAAACATAGATCAGCCTGCATTTGTTAGTGAGGCTGATTAGTCAGCGTTTTTTTAGGTGACTTGTCTGAAAAATCAGATTTTTTTTTTGAACTAACTCTGATTGATCAGCCTAGCGTAGCCTGCTAAGGCTGACGTCTCAGCCAAGCTAAAAACGAATCTGAGGCCCTGGATTAAATCAACAAAGTTCATGTTGTTGGCCCCCCTCTCTTGTAAAAAAAAAGCACAGTCGATGGGTTCACTGAAAACGACTGAACCAGGGATGCTCTGCAAACAAATCAATCCAATCAAAGAGGAGTGGGCAAGGAAGAGAGGCAGATGAGCGAGGAATGTGGAAAGAGGATGTAAGGGAATACGAAGTGAAGGAAGCGGAAAAAGACGGGCAAACAGCATCTTCCCACCCACATCAGAACAAAAAAAGTCACGAGTCAGAAATGCATCTGGGAAGCAGTAAGAATCATGCTTGCAAGCCCATGTTCCTGCACATGCCCTCTCTCATACCTGCCTCGCTGCCTTACACTCCAACCCACATACCTCCCATGAACCTCATCCAACCGCTTACCAGACCAACATACCGACCAGAACCCACCTAGAGCCTCCTGTGCCGAGACCCTCCTCTTCTGATCCCGATCCAGCATCCGCAGAATCAAATCTTTCCCCTTCTCCGATACACCCCTCCATGCCGACCCCTTAAACCCCACCTCCGCCTCCTTGATCGCCCGTGCCACCCCCCCCTCCGTCTCCGCCCAAAAGGGCGGCACGCCGGCCAGCAGCACATACAGGACAACGCCCGCCGACCACACATCCGCCGGTGTCCCATACGACCCGGAAAGCACCTCCGGCGCGATGTAGAACAGCGACCCGACGGCATCAGTCAACATCTTCCCCCCGGGCTTGAGAAACGCGGCGACTCCAAAGTCGATGACGCGCACGTCGGTGTGGGAGGAGGGGTGGGCGAGGAGGATGTTTTCGGGCTTGATGTCGCGGTGCACCACGTGGTGGCGCTGGTGGCAGCTCTGCAGCACGCCCAGCACCGCACGCATCACCAAAGCCGCCTCCCTCTCGCTGTACCGCCGCCGCTCCTTGATTCGATCGAACAGCTCGCCGCCCGAGCACAGCTCCATGATCAGGTGGATGGCATGGGGGGTTTCGATGGGTTCTTCCAGGTGAATTACGTTCGGGTGGGATCTGAGGAGGTTCAGGATGGCGACCTCCCGCCGGACGTCTTCGATGTCGGATTTGGACTGGGGTGCGGAGGGGTGGATGAAAGCGAAGGGGGAGAGCATGAGGGGGTAGAGCATGGGAGGAGGAAAAGAGGAGCAAGAAGCACAAGGCACACGGGGCGGTCAACAAGAGATGTACGGACAAGAGGATGAGGAGAGGAGAAGAAGAACAAACAGATGGAACATCAAGCAACACACACCTTGAAAGCGGCCTTGTTGATGGTCTTGCATGCAAGCCGCCTCCCTGTGCTCCGACACACCACCACTCGTGTCACCCCAAACTGCCCCGCGCCCAGCTCCTTCCCCCCCTCCACCTCATACCTCTCCTCCACCTCCCCAAACGCCCCACCCAGCACATTCACCCCCACACCCCCCACGCCCATGCCAGCAGCAGCCCCAGCAGCAGCAGCACTGGCGGCAGCAAGGAGTTTGGAGAAGGAGGAGAGGCCCTTGGCTGCGAGGCTGAAGAGACGGTTGTGGCTCGCCTTGAAGAACCGCGTGCGGATTTGCAGCTCCGCCTCCTCCCACTGGCCTCGCTCGTCTGCTTCTGCATCCGCCTCACGTGCAGCTGGGTCTGAGGCGGCACCAGCACCAGCATCAGCAGCAGAATTGGCTGCAAGTCTCCCAAGTCTTGCCTCTGATCTTGCCTCTGATCTTGCCTCTGATCTTGCCTCCCACCGACCACTACCCTCTGCGTTTGCAGCAGCCTCGCCTGTAACAGCTGGCGACCCACCATCCCCTCCATCCTCCCTCCCTCCCGGACTCAATTCCTCCGGCTCTGTCCAGGTCGCCGCCCTCCTATGCCTGCAGCTCCCTCCGCCCCGCCCTGAACCATCCCCAGCCGCATCCCCTGCGCCATCCCCTGAAGAATTCCCTCTCCTTCGCTCTGCCGCACTGCTCGCATGCTTCACGAGCGCTCTCCTGGCCACTGTTTCAGAACCTACCCGTGCCTTGCCGTCGCCCCCTGCGGCTGTGTTCACCGGACTGCACTCACTGCCCTCATTGCTCGGGCTTCTCTGATTACCCGGGCTGCTTGATGCTCCTTCTGCTTGCTTCCTGCTGCATCCCATTCCTACTGCTGTTGAGTCCATGGATTTACTATGGGACCGATTTTCAGGTCTTCTCTGCGGCACTTCCCCTCTTCTCACACCCTCACCCACTCCCCTCACTTCTCTCGCTCCTCCTGCTGCTCCTCCCCTCCCTCTTCCCCCTCCCCTTGCCTCAATCCTGCCTTCCACCGTCCTGGCTCGGGATACCCGTCCCAGTACCCCACCAGGCAAATCCTCAGTCTCAGCAGTGCAGGCTCGGCCCGAACCTCGACCCCGTTCGTCTAGCAATTGCACCCTATTCACCTCACCAATACCTTCCCTATCAAGAAAATACTCAGGTTCGGGGGATTTGCCTTCCTGGGGCGAGTCGTCTGCTTCGGCGGAGCTCTTGCTCCGGGGGTAGGTATGCCAAGCCTTGGAGGCAGGTCCGGTGGGTGAGGCGTGGGGGGGAATGCAGGTGGGGGAGAGTGGCGGGCGAGAGTCCTTCTTTCTACTCGCGCCCTGGAAGGCTGGTGGGGTTGGAGACGTGCCGTAGGGTTTCTCGGCGCCTTGCGAGGGGGAGTGAGGAGAGGGGGAATGAGGGGAGGGAGAGTGAGGGGAGAAAGGGTGGCGAAGGAGAGGGTGGGGAGAGGGCGAGAGAGGAAGTGGGGAGGGAGGAGAGGAGGAGGAAGGGCTCTCGTTCAGATCAATCTGAGTTCGAGGCGCGTCCGCGGGGGCGGCAGCAGCGAAGGGCGGGCGGGGCGACACGACTGACAGCGGCGGGGCGGAATCGAGAGGCATATCCGCTAAGCTTATCTCGCGCTCCCACCCGCTCGCCACAACCGTACTCGCTACAAGAGTTCTCGCTACAGGAACATCGTCATCGCGATCCGCCGCCCAGTCATCCGCGAATGCGGGCTCGCACCCCTCGCTGCCCCCTCTCCTCCTCTCGCGTCGCCTCTCCATCCCCGCGCGACCCCAGTCGTCCTCTTTAACTACTGACTGACCGTCACTAAGATCCATCGAGTCGCCTTTCCTAGTTGACCTTTCTATTGCCGACGCTCCGCGCAAAGCTTTAGGGCTACGGCTAGCAGTAACAATATTTCCGCCGTGAATCGCGCTACTGCTACCCGTAGTGCTACTGCGCTCCGCGGCCTTCACAAGAAACCCGGGCGGGTGAAGACATCCAATATCGGGAAACGACACTGATTTCTTTACGTGCCCGTTTTTCTGCCCGAGCGGCTCGCACTGCTGCCCGTGATATGAATGCCGCTGCTGCCCGTGCAAGTTCCGCGTGGAGCAGCCGCCCGACGACGAAGAAAGCTGCGCGCCCCTCGGCGATCTGATCGCCTCCGGTCGACTCACGTCTTGCCAATGCGCCTCCTGACTCTCCCTGGCGGAAACTGCGCCTGCGCCCCAGATCGGCGCAGCGGGAGATTTAGGCGGAAGGAATGCCGCGGAAGGGGGCGGCGCGGCGAATGCTCCGAACGAGCGAGTCGGGCCCCGGGAGATCGATCCAGGGGACTTGGCTCCCGCCATCACCGATTGCGCAGACGCGAATGCAGCCGTCGCCACCGGCGTTGATCGTGGGCTGCGTTCCGCTCCCCCCGCTCCTTGCCACGGGGTCCTGGCGGAGCCTGTCGCGGGGGAAGCGACTGTAACAATGTTACTGTCGCTTGCGTCGTCGATCTGTACCATCAGTGGGCGACGTCGCAACGACAGCGCCTGCGAAGTTTCCGATTCTTTCCTTTTCGTAACGGCGGCCGAATCATCTGGATCTAGCAACCCGGCTGTAGCATGATCGTGCTGCCGCAGCTGCTGCTGTAGCGTCTGCTCCCACGAGGGCGCATTAGCGACAATCGTAGCCGCCCGGTTCTTCAACTGCTGGCGCCGCTCTTCCCTCTGCTGCCGCTCCTCCTCTTTCCTCTCCCGCCGCTCCTCGTCTTCCCGCTGTCGCCGCTCTTCTGCCTCCCGCTGCTCCTGCTCGAGTAGTTCTTGCGCGCGCCGTTCTTCCTCCCGCCGCTCCTGCTCCGCGCGGAACTCCCGCGCGCCTGGCATCCCCGCGGTCGCAATAATCGTCGCCGCGCGGGTTACCAGCTCCTGCTTTCGCCGCTCCTCGTTCCGCTGCCTCTCCAGCATCTCTTCCCGCGCTTTCTCAAGCCGCTCCGCCTCCTCTCGCTGCTGGCGCATCTCGTGCGCCGTCGGCTGGTGCAGCCGCTCCATCAGCTCCCGCGCTTTCGCGATGCGCTGCGCCGCTGCCGCCGCGGCCGCCTCCGCAGCAGATTCCGCAGCTTCCGCCGCCTCCGCCGCGGCGTAAAGCTCAGCAGCCGTGGGAGCGACCGGCGGAGGCGCATTCGCCGCCGACGCGGATACCGCAACCGCCGCCACCGCCGCCGCGACTCGCGCGCCCAGATCCGCTCCCGCTGACCCCCCTGCGGACGAGCGCCTGCGGAGGTGGCGCTCATGCGTTGCGCTCGATGCGGGGGGAGGTGCGGAGGAGGATTTTCCGCCAGCGCCCAGCGAAGCGGAGCGGGGGAAAGAAGGCTTCTGGCCGCGGGTTTGCGGACGGGAGCCGGTGGGGGCGAAGGCACGGGGAGCGGGGGCGGGGGAGGGGGTGAAACCAGACGGTAAATCCGCGCATGCGGTGCCCTGAAAGTCCGCGCATTGCTGCGGCGAATCGAAGGAGCTCCCGCGGTAAACACGGCCCGAACCCGAGGGGATCCGTGTGGGGCGGCGATCCAGCGCTGACTGCATGATCGAGCTTCACGTACTAACGGGTCGGGGGGAGGGGGGATGCAGTCTATCGACACGCAGCACAGACAAGAACGCGTACGTGCGCGGTTGGCTGCAAGTATTCCGTTAACTGAGTAGATTCGAAGTCGGCTTGACAGCAGTGGTAACGCAGGATTCAGAATGGTGGATGAACGGTTCTCGGGAAGGGTTCAGCATTACGAAAGGTGGAACCGCGAATCCTCGGAAACATCTAAGTGGGGAGAGCTGTAGCTTGGCTGCGGGCCGGGTCTGGCTGAACCGGGGAATGCCGGTTTGACGACCAGTTTCACCACCTCCTAGGTCTCAAACAAGTCAGGGTCAAGGTCAGTGTGTATTTAAATCTCATTCAGATGATGTGAGACGCGGTAAATGGTGGAGATGCCGCGAAGGCAACCGTGTGAGTCATGAAGTTACACATGATGCTCACCTCCTGCACGCGAAATTGCCTCGCACCAGATGGAAACCTTACACCCGTGGGTTTTGTGCCGTGAGGTTGCACCCACAGTACAAGCACGTCGACCAATAGAACCACAGAAACTAAAGTCTGACTGAAGAGACTGCAGTCAAAACGTCAACGGTGCGTTACAGAAGTTTTTTATAAGCCCTTTTTGCCCGAAGCGAATTGACGAAACCTCCACGAAATGCAAGAATCGCTTATGCGCCCAGAGGGTAAGGCAAGGTCGGGGGGCTCAACCGGGCATCATGTGTACCTCTCACCATACTGTGGACCTTGCACGTGAGGTGCAGCATGGCATGAAAGGGGCACATCAGCGACGCGGAGGCGGACCGTAGGTTGCTGCTGCTGAGGTGAAGGTATGCAACAGCCATGGATCGTCGTCGTACACGGTCCGCAGTTCGTGGAGTTTGTTTGACCCACACTTGCACTTCAGCCATCGAGTGTGAATTTCCGTCTCATAAAAAAATAGAGTGCGCATTGCGGGATTCCTCTGTGTTTGAGATAACAAATGACTGACATTCTCAGAGTTGAAGTACTACTTACAGCTTGTTTTAAAGCATCTATGATTTTTTGGTAAATAAGACCCTGTGCTCTCTCCAGCATTTCGGATGCTCCAGTTTTGAGAGCTAGTTCGGGTCACATCACACCCACGCCTTGTACACCGTTGGTGCTTTAAACCCCTCCTTGGTCAACACAGGAAAATCGCGCAGCGGGAAAGTTTACCACATCCCCTGATGGCTCAAATTTCATTGGCAGCAGGGAACCACAACGATGGCTGCTGAATGTTGTTGGAAACAATCGGTCCTAAAGCGCTTCTATCGTGTCGAAACACCAAGGCACAAGCGAAGCAAATCATATCGAGGCACCAGCGAGTCAACCCTCGGAGGTTGAAGTAGCCGCTGGAGGTTACAGGAAAGTCAAAGGTCAGCGACCTTTGACTTGACAAAGGCAGCGCGACAGCAAGGACACACAACTGACTCGATATTGAGCAGTTGCCCGAGTCGCACTGTATCGAACCGCAACAGCCAACAGTAAAACAGTTGTCATTCATATCTCTTCGTATTCCTTGTACTCCTATATAAACCTTTGTACTTGTTTGCTTTATTAACTCACTTTGTTCTCACACACTAGTGCAAGGTGGTTCAGAGTCTCATCATTAAACGCTTCCGCTATCACATCACTCTATCCAGAGATTTACCCTACCAAAGATCCTAAGGGCCTTTTTCAGCCCAACATGGTATGAGAGCTGGTTAGGGCAAAATCCTTTTTCTTAATCACACCAAAAGACATGTCTACCAGAAAGGAGAGGAGCTCCTCTAACGACTCTCCTGGTACTACTCCTACGCCACCTCCTGCCTCTGGCCTACAGACAGAGGAAGGCACAACAACAAGACCGGCATCAGGATCTACCGAAACACCCGCAAACCAAGGCGCGGGCTTCAATCCAAGCATGATGGAGAAATTCTTCTCTTTCATGTCCTTCTACGAACAGCACCAGCAAGGAGTACCAGCGCAATCAAACAACAGCAACAACGTGACGCCCATGAGTCTCGATGGCTCATCCTACGCACGCGGGAATCAACAACAACAACCCACCTTCGCTCCGTATGAGCCCCAGCGCGGCTCCGTCAGATTCATGCCACAACCTCAACCTGCACCAGGACAAGAAAGAACGCTGGACGCACTACAAGTTCAGTCGCAGTTCGCGCATGTCTTAAAACTGCAAACGACAAAACCCTTCGACGGGAAGGACTTCTTCACCTGGTCGTTCGAATTCGAATTGATGATGGAAGGAGCGCAAATCCTTGGCTTCTTCGACGGGTCCCTGCCATACCCAACAAACGGCACACAATATGAGAAGCAGCAGTACACCTATCAATCGATGATGGCGTACACGATACTACTGAGGAACATCACCCCGACTCAACAGCAGAACATAAGGACTTACCGAGGATATGGCAACTCCGCGGAGCTCGCGTACAATCACTTGAAGAACCTGTATCAAGCAACAGACAGCGTAAACCAAAGTCGGTTAATGGCGCAGCTGACAACAATCGAGATGAAACCAGGCGAGAAGGGAATGGCATATATCAGTCGCTGCCGCGAGCTGCGCGACAAGCTTCTTCGATGTGGAGGATCAATTTCAGAAGACGCCTTCGTCACGGTTGTCATCGGCGGTCTTGGTCCTCACTGGCGCTCCACTCGCGCCATACTACGAGCACACGGGAGAATCTCCAAAGAAGCACTCCGTGCCGAAATCCATGCTGAACAGCAAGACATGGACCTGCAAGAAGAACGACACAAGAAAAAGGCATCAGTACCCGAATTCGCGTTCCACACTCAGCGACGCTACAACAACAACAACAACCGGCAGCAACAACCGAAGCCAGTACCTCCGTTCTGCCACCTCTTCAAGACTTCAGGGCATCCTCGCACGCACTGCCCAAATCGACAACAGTCAACATCGCCGCAATTTTGTCCTTCAAGCAGTCAAGTCGCTTCAACGCAAGCAAATCCGACAACTTCAGTACAAGCGTCAACAACATCGACAGGACAACCTGCAAAAGAAACAAGAAACATCGTCAGCTGCATGGCAAGACTGAGTGACTCCTGCACGACTGAGTCACCACCATATTACTCACCAGAAGAACAACTCGACAACCGCACGCCTCGCCGCGAGTCACTTCAACCGAACCCGACGTACGCCGCCATCGCTCAAAGCGAACCGTCCGGGAAGGACACGTGGTTCTTGGACAGTTGTTGCGGACAACACATGTGCTCCTCGGGACGCTTCGTTCAACGCGAGCACCGACTTCAACGAGAAGTCGTCGTCACAGTCGCCAATAACCAAAACCTGCGCACACGACGACAAGGGATTGTGCAACTTCAGACACGAGAGACAAACGTTATACTACAGATGTCAAAAGTACTAATCGCGGAGGGACTCGGCTACAACTTACTGAGCGTCAGTCAGTTGATGGCGAAAGGCATACACTTGGAAGCCGACAGTACCACCCAGGAATTCAAGCTGTACCACAGGAAGGGCGGCCTCTACATCGGAAAGGCGGTTCTGAAGAGCAATGCCTTCGTCCTCGACTTCGTCCCAGACCTGGACACCGCAGACAGCGACGCCATCGTGAACTTCGCCGACTGGACACATCCTCCAGACCTTGATCCAGACTTCAGCCCGGAAGGTTTTTGGTATTCACATACCATACCTGAAACAGAACAAACACGCGCGTTAGTAACAATACAACATTCGGCAGCAGCAGAAACAACATCGGCAGCAGCAGAAACATCATCGGCAGCAGCAGAGACATCATCGGCAGCAGCAGCAACAACGACACCAGTCCTCGTTGACGAAACACCACCAACAACAACAAAACAGCTCCACCCAGCACCACGAGAAGTTCATCGAAGCGCAAACTTCATCGCCAGCTTCTATTCCAACTCCGACATGTACCGTCGATCACCCGGGCATCGCGCCGATGAAAGCACCTGGCACGCAAGGATGGGACACCCAATCAACACTGTGTTAAACAACACAATAAGAGCAGGAGTCCTTGACAAGGACTTGTTACTATTACTCGACGGCAGAGAACCTCAACGGGCACGAGGAACCTGTCTTACCTGCCCCGAAGCCGACTTACCACATCGGCCGTTCGCCCCTCATCACAACCCGAGCGCACCCGCGTACGCACCACTCGAAAAGGTGTACAACGACATCCTGTACAATCGGGAACCAGGACAAGTAATCTACAACTACACAATCACCTTCATCGACGCCGCCACTCGTTACGTCTGGCATCTAAACCTACCCAGCCGCGACATGGTCCTCGCAGCGTTCGCTGCTTGGCTACCAGTAGCAGAAAGAGAGTCGGGCGTAAAGTTGAAAAGCTTCCAGTCAGACAGGGGAGGAGAATACACCTCTCAGCGATTCAAGCAGTATCTGGCAGAAAGGGGAATCAAGCAGCTCCTCTCTCTTCCCTACGCC